GCATAACATTGGGGCTGGGCCCCACCGCTCTGAACCATATCCCTGGGACGACCTCCTGCTAGTTGCTCTCTACCTCTACCGGTCTGGCCTCCACCTCTAACGGCCTGACCTCCACCTCTAGTGGGTTGATCTCTACCTCTGGCTCCCTAACCCCTACCTCTAGCTGGCTGAGCAGGCGATGCCAGGATCATGGCATGAGAACCCTACTACTATGGCTGAACACCCATTAATCTCGGACAGGTCCTTCGGATATGCCCATACTCATCACACTCGAAACATCCATTCTGATACTGCAGTTGAGAAAACTGATCCCGCGATAATAACTCTAAAGAGGAGGTGCTCTGATTGGAACTGGTGGTGCACTATAAGTTGGCTTCCCTGAATGAGGTATATAAGAACCATGACTCCCTAAAGCTCCATGAAATGTCTGAAGTGCTGAGTGAAACAGCCTGGGAGAATGGCCTCTACCAAAAGTACCTCGACCTCCAGATGAGGCCCCACTGAATCCACTGGAGTGACGAGGCCTCTTGTGAGACCCCTGACCACTCCCATGAGCTAAAACTATCTCCACTCGTCTGGCCACATTGTCAATACTCGTAGCCACTGTAATCTTTCACGTCCAATTTTGTACAATACGTGTATAATAAATGTATCATCAGTGTATAATGTACACACGGTGATTATACACATATTATACAATTATTAAACAAGAATTACACGATATATAAATAAAGGAGCATTGACAGTAATGGAGGACAGTCAAATTTGCTGAAAAAAGATTTTCTCCAGCAGTGGCCATTTTATTTCCTCCATCTCTCATCTTCTCATAAAATTCATCCAGAAGAGTGTCGTGCAATACCATATCTGAAAGTGGACAGAAAGAGAAGAAGAAGAAGGCAACCATCGTCAGAATTTAGCCAGAAATTACACAAAGAAGATAGTATTGTTTTCATCTAAGTTAAGGAGGAGGAAAATGTTAAGTGAGAGAGAGAGAATGGTGTGTTGATATCGTTATAGTGGAAGAGAAGAAAAGAAGAAGAAAAAAAGTAGGAGTGAAAAAGGGAGAAGATAAGAAGAGAGGGAAAAGAAGGTTGAAGAAGGGGGAAAATGAGGAGGGAGAGAGAGGAGAAGAAGGCGGCTGAAAGATGGGAGAAAAAATGAATTTGGGTTTTGGCCGATATTAAATTGCTTATAAAGCCTAAAAAGGGTAGCTTGTGTAAAGTAGAGCCATTATTTTGCCCGAATGTAATTTCTCAATTTCTTCCGTGCAAGCACCGGCGAAGCCAGATTCTTTGACTGATTTGGTATGCCTACTTGTTGCCTTTCTATTGAGATTAAATCGATCTTTCGGCCAATTTTTTTCCTAATTAATTTACCATAAATTTAGTGATTTTAAAGTGACAAATATTATTTTAGTGATCACTGGAGAAAACATGGTTAATCTGATTACCATTTAAAAATTAACTCTAACTCTGACAAAAAAAATGGCCATGCATTTTCTGAGTTAGTAGTAATAATTTTGTTAAGCTGAGAAAACCAGAAAGAAATCCATTAATTGTAGTACATACCTGAATTGACAGAAAGCAGAAAACCTTTTTTTGTTGTCGAAGGATTTTCTACAGTGCTTTTAATATATTCTGTTGTTCGATTAAAAATTATCTATAGCTTCTAGACAATAATACATATATTATAATTTCTTGAGCGGTCGGTTATTAAATTTAAATTCTTTGTTTCTCTACATACGCACCGAAACACAAAGGGCATAAAATGAAAAGTGGGCTTAGGCCCAAATATAAATAGTTAAAATAGCATGGGCTAGCCAGTTTTCGGATTGGTCATTCAAAATAGCCAGTATTTCAAAGTCATTAAAAAATAGCCACTATTTTGCTGCAACACGAAAAGTTCCAGCATAATATACTGGAGATCGGTGCACCTGTGTATGAACTTCCAGCATATTATGTTGGAACTCCAACACGCGAAAAGTTCCAACATAACATACTGAAGTTTGGAGCACCTATGTATGAACTTTCAGCATATTATGTTGGACCGGTATATTATACTGAAACTCTAGTATATTATGCTGGAAGTCCCTGGAACTCCAGTATATTATACTGGAGTTCCAATATACTTATGCCGGAACTCCAGTATAAGTGGCTAAGATTTATCTTTACATGCTGGAACTCCAGCATAATATACTGGAATTCCAGTATATATATTATGCTGGAGTATTTTCCGGATTTTGAACAGTATTTTCGTTCAGATTTATTTTTACATGAAAAGTGGCTAAATTTCGATTACTTTTGAAACTATGATTATTTTTGAATGACCACTTGTAAATCTGGCTATTTTTTAATTTCTCCCATAAAAATATGTACAATATCAACTGAACAAAAAGGGGTTTTTGCATCTATACTCGATTTTGGGTCACAATTGAACTTATACCTACTTTGCAAAAAAAATTGCAAGCGTACCCACTTTACGATCAACTTCAGACTTATCGGGTCTGAAGTTAAAAAAATTAGTCTGAAGTGAAAAAATTGCACTTCAAATGCACTTAAGGCCAAATAGGTCTGAAGTGCAACCAATGGTTCCATGCACTTAAGGCTAATAAGTCTGAAGTGAAAAATTGCACTTCAGATGCGCTTAAGGCCAATAAGTCTGAAGTGAAAAATTGCACTTCAGATGCACTTAAGGCCAAAAAGTCTGAAGTACAACAAACGTTTTCTTCACTTAGGGACAATAAGTCTAAAGTGAAAATTTGCACTTCAGATATACTTAAAGCCAAATAGGTTTGAAGTATAACCAATGGTTTCATGCACTTAAGGCCAATAAGTTTGAAGTGAAAAATTGCACTTCAGATGCACATAAGGCCAAAAGGTCTGAAGTGCAACAAACGTTTTGCTACACTTAAGGCCAATAAGTATGAAGTGAAAAATTGCACTTCAGATGCACGTAAGGCCAAAAGGTCTGAAGTGCAACAAACGTTTTGCTACACTTAAGGCCAATAAGTCTGAAGTGAAAAATTGCACTTCAGATGCACTTAAGGCCAAAAGGTATGAAGTGCAATCAACGTTTTTATGCACTTAAGGCCAAATAGGCCTGAAGTGCAAATTGCCCAGAAACAGAAATTTGTTCTTCGAATTATAACAATCCAATATACAATTTAATACCTAAATCTACTCCGAATGAGCTCAAATTTGAAACATAACCTCCAAATATCATCAGGAACAAACCTCAATCATCAATTTCTCAAAACAACAATAAATCTAATGAATCCATTTTGCAATTAAGAAAAAAAAAGAAGAAACCCTAAGCAATAGTAAAAAATAAAAGCGTCATAACAGCTCACCATTGTAAAACATCATAAACTATATTAAAATATGTTCACAACCACCATATAAAATCATTATCACCCGAAGAAGAATAAGAAGAAGGAGAAGGAGAAGAAGAAGAAAACTAAGAAGGAGAAGAAGGAGGAGAAAGAGGCCTGAAGTTGTTTAAAAAGTGGGTACAAATTAAAACGTTCTAAAATAATAGGTATAGATTAAATGTGCAATTTCTACGAAGAAAAATGCAAATGGCCCGGTAGACCACATTGCCTGAGGAGAATGAAGATTACACCTTGAGATACAAATAAACATCCTTCTCAAAAAAATTATAAGTGAATAACCCCATATCAGATTTCTACAACTCTTTACACTAGCACTATTAGAAATTCGGTAAATACCGACCAAAAAAACCGTGGCCAATTACCAACCAAAATGCAATCAAATACGCTTGGACGGTATTTTGATGGTCATTTTAATATACCGACCAAAGTTGGTCGAAAATTATCGACCAACGTTGGTCGGTCAATTAAATTCAAAAAAATATTGCAAAAAAAGCTGATCAAAGTTGGCCGGTATTTTAATTATGTAATCAAAAGATTCACCATCTGGGAATCGAACCGGAGTGTATACTGTGGCAGGATACTATTCTACGACTTGACCATTCGTGCATTTTGTTTTAATATTATCTTATTTTTTATTTATACTCTTTCATTGTATTTTCGCATGAAAATAACCGACCAAAGTTGGTCAGTCTTATTAAAAAATAAAATTACCGATCAAAGTTGGTTGGTTTTTTAAAATGACCGGCCGAATTTACCGACCAAAGTTGGTCGGTTTTCTTGAAAAATAAATTTTGCGGGACTCAAAAATAGTTTCCCGTATTTTTGCGCCAAAGAAAACCGACCAAAGATGGTCGGTTTCGTAAAAAAAAATATATATTTTGAAAAACCGACCAAAGGTTTTTTGACCGATCAAAGTTGGTCGATTTTTCTTGATCGGTTTTTGCCGAATTTCTAGTAGTGTAGTAGAATCCCTTAAGTTTCTTTCCACAAAAGTTCCATTGAAACCATATGGCACAATGGTAGGTAAATTGATTATGGCAACTGGTTTTCTTGTGAAAATTTTGGCATCAATCACATAAACCTGAAATACACTGTCAAGATGTAGTTACAAACATATTGTAGTAATTATTAGCCAGCTTTAGTCATTTATATCTGTAGGTGAAGAAGACTTGCCTGAGAGACACATCAGTTTCTTTATATGTGACAATCCAACCATCATCGTCTTCGAGACTTCCAGGTTTAGCATCTCCTAATTTGACAGAAGATGAGAGTGTAGCTTTGGGTCTATGTAAGCTGCAACTCTCTGGAAAATCTAGTCCATAGCTGCAATTAGCCATCTTAATATGTCTATTAGTGTTTATGTATTTTTCAATGTGTATAGACAACAGATAACTCGTGAAGTACGATATCTTCTGTTGAACTCGTCATACTATTTGTTAAAGTCTAGTTAGTGCATGTCTTTATTTTTAGAATTGAATATTCCTCCCATGTCGCATATATATTACAACTTGCTGCTTTGTTGATTCGATATTGAAGGGCAATATTTCTTTTCAAATTTTACCCCTAGTAAATTATTTCCCCAGATGGTTTCCAGGAAAAAGCACAATCGTGAATAAATGCAGGGGCAGATTGAAATTCTTTTTCAAAATCAACATCATTGTCTCATACATTTTCCCCGGATGTTGTCATTGCAATGTAACTGGGGAATATGCTAAAATGACATTCCACACCGGAGCCATTTGATTAATAGCCAAAATCATCAATTTACAACGGCGAGGACATCTTCCATATTAAAATTTTGGCAGGGAATACCCAACAAGAAGGAATCATAGGACTTGCAAACTTAACCCAACTTGGATGAGTCACTTTGGACTTGTGATTGCAAGCTTCTCCGGAGAAAATCGGACAACTTTCCAGTGGCAGCACGTCCTCGCTCCAAACAGCGAATGTAGTCATCAACTGAATACAGGAAAATTCTTAGGCATAATTGTAGATCAACTCACTCTTTAAGGAACAAAAGCCAAATTGCAATGTGAAAATGCGAGGGTCATATGGCAGGGAGGGTGACATATATAAGAGGAGGTTAGGGGGAAGCAAAATATGTCTCTCGGCTAAATTCAAATTTAGCAGAAGATCTGATGCTGCTTCTAAGTTCCATGAGATCTCCCAATCAAAGCAACTTTACAGTATTAATTCCATTTATTGACTCTGCAATCAAACTACAACTACAAACTTTTTGACAAGTAAACTACAACTACAAACTACAACCGTTGCAATTGCTTAACTCACTCCTCCCCCCCCCCCCCCCCCCCCCCCNNCCCACCCCTTTTTTTTTTCCAAAAATAACAATGGTGTCTGGACCAACTTGTGTGTAACTTGACTATTCTCCGGGTACCAGTATCCTTCCACCAGTACAGCCACCAAATAACTTTCTCCCACCAGGACTTAAATCACCTATCTTTCTTGCTTAATTCGAACATTGGCCTCCCGCTGTCTTAATTCCAACTCCATAGACCGCTACACTATATCCTTCGGTCTATTTAAGTCATATTCATATATTTTCAACTTATTTCATTTTATGTTTATGCTTTCAATACTTACGGAGAAAGGCTAACCCTCCAAAATAAAACTGGAGTTAGAGTGGTGCTGCACAACAGAATTATCCACAACCCCAAAAAAAATAGAGTAGCGCTGCACTATAATGCTGTAATAATCAACCATAACAAGCATATGTTCAGATAAAAAACGTTCTGGTTTGGGTGAGTCTTCTATTCGACCTAAGCTCCTGCTGGACAATATACTTCCATGGCTCTTTATAACTGAACTTTATCCTATTTCTCCTACTTCGAATCAAAATTGAATTGATTTATTGCAAGTTCAGCTTAGTGCAAGCGAGAAGTGAAGCTTGTTAATATTGGTCAATGAAAATGCTAAGTTAAAAATAATCTTTTTGTCATTAAAAGTAGTTTTGGCTTTACACATAAGCTGTGGAGAAGGATAAGCAGAGCATGTTGATATCTCCATAATGAAAATCTAACATGTTACAGAAAGAAATGTTGATACATTGTTTCAACCAAGGGGATTTAAGAAAAAAATTGAGGAGATGTGAGCCGAAACCCAAGGTGTTTCTATTTAAACGTGTAATCAGAAAGAACAAATCCCGTGTCAACCAAGACAAGAAATTCGCTAATGGTATCACTCGAGAGTCATGATGATGCAGAGCTACAAGATATTGCTATTTTAAATGCAACCACACTACAAACTCCCAAACTTATGTTTGTATCAATAGTGAACCACAAAACTAAGAGCAATGGTAAAACATCATGCTGAAAGTAAACAGCTAAAATGCATCTCTGTTGAAGAGATGAATCATAAAGAAACCAGACAAATAACTATCCACTAGAGACAAACTGCATCAACAAACTGCTGACAAACCTCTCAGCATTGACAAATTTACAGTAAGAACCACAAGCCCCAACCGAAACCCAGAATTTCAGAACCAGGCAGAATAACAAAGAACTGTGAGGTAATGAAGCTCCAATCAAACATAATAAAAGCATAGTGCTACCAGGCAGAATAACAAAGAACTGTGAGGTAATGAAGCTCCAATCAAACATAATAAAAGCATAGTGCTACCAGGCAGAATAACAAAGAACTGTGAGGTAATGAAGCTCCAATCAAACATAATAAAAGTATAGTGCTAAGCAAAGAGTGCTTATTTCCGGGCATATAAGCACATACTGATACAACTTTGATGCTATAACAATCACAACAGTAAAAAGAACTTATACGAAATATTATTATAAATGACAATAGGAATGTAACTACATAGATTCCGATCTTACCTGACATTACACCGTGTGTAAAAGATGTTATAAGTCCATGTTCCATGGGTTCACCTCTCACTTTCAATGATTCTTCAGGAAGCACAGATAATGTCGAGTTAGGAAAAACTAGATATACAAACGCCTTCATTTTCTGTTATCATCAGGAAAGAAAATTATACACCAGTATTATTATATGAGTACGAGATCGTTAAGAATACCAAAAAAAGCTTAATGAATTACATAAAAGACTAAACGGAGACAACCTGCTCTTCTAGCTTGCTAGGGTCCAGTAGAATATGTCCACTCTCTGCTAGACTACAACATATTGCAACTACAAAAAACAATAACCCTCCATCATTTCATCTTTCCTCATACTGAAGCATTAAGTAAATCATCAAATAATTATGCTTCATCACAATATGCACATGGAAGATTAATACCAGCAAGGTGCTTCAAAGGAATCCCAGCATCCACAAGGGCAGCACATACTGCATTTATGGCACATGGAAGAAGCTTAAGAAAAGTGCAGTCAAGGAAGTTTCCTGACTGACGAATCAAAGTTGAAGAATGATCTTAACTTCAGTAATATGCAGAATTTAAACATCACACGATAGACGAGACATAGGCAGTCTTTAAAAAGATAGGTCATTTTGCGGAGTTTCTTCAAAATAAATTTTTCGTTGTTACATAATATTCTCCTTATTAGAAGTCACTTCCTGAAAATTTTAACATTCTTGATATTACGAAAGTCAAAATGAGACCATAAAGAGAGTTAGGACTTCTGGCGGGTAGGTATACCTTGTCCTCACGCTTACCCTTCTTTCAAGGGCGTCACAAAATAGGTCCCCAAACTATAAGATACCAACTGTCCTAAAAAAATGAATGACTCCTGAAAATATAGCCAGCACTCTAATCTAGAAGCAAGATTCTTGGAGCACTATACTGAAAAGTGAATTCTGAAAATCTAGTAGGAACCAAATAAGGGATGATTATAACATAATTACAATTCAAAGTGCAAGATAAATAAATACACAAGTATAGAATATCAGGCCCTTATGACAGCAGAATTACTCTAAGTAGTCTGGGATAAATTAGCGGTGTGTTCATTCACTTATTTATTTGATGGTTTGATCGTTTATTCAAATTGGTGAGAGCTCTTTTCCCATCATCCCTGAGCACTCTCAGATATCAGAATGTAAATCGTCCAAACTGTAGCAAGAGAAGGTGTTTAATAACTAAGGATACAGCTCCATCATCGTTGACAACCTGCATAAAACTTAACTACTTCAGTTTGATTGGAGCTATCATTATGATCAAACAAATATATATACACTTTGCAAACAAAAAGAAAAGAGCTAACAAAATGACAATGCATAGAAATACCTAAAAGACCAAACCTACTTTTCTGTCAGGAAGTTGCAACAGCACATTGATATTACGATTTTCAGATGACACATAACCACCCAACTAAGATGTCAAAACCTCAACACAACTGTCTTAGATGGGCATAAACGTAATGTTCATCAATGCGTACCCTGCATTCCAATATCATAGCACACTGATGCGAATAATTTTTAGCCCCCAAATAAAGTGGCTAGAACTTGCACTTCAGCTTTCATGCTTAATAGACTAAATGATGAAACAAAGTGAAAAGGAAGATAAATAAACAAGTAATAATATGCATACCGTCTATGTTGCCCAATAGTCTCTAATCCTTCAAAAGTGAAACAGAGGGATTTTAAGAGGACCTACTGCAGGCCTGGGCTCTAAGTGACTGCAACATAACCATTGTCGTCTAAGTTACTATGTCTTCATCTAAGTACCATATCCTCTTTATATGCATTGTACTACGCTCTTTGAATCAGATCACAGCCTAATATGCTTTGAGTTAATTGTATGGTGTTGGTCCCTTGTAAAGAGGGGATATCCTATGCCTGTTTCTCTACATTTATCCTACGGCCTCTCTCTTCCTATTTTCCTATTACTGTTCTTCTCTTTAGACAACTGTAACTGCTACAATGAACATCTTTCTACTTTGCTTTCCCTTCTGCCTCGAAATTTCTGATTTACATGGTACGTTCTTTATCTTCTTAAGCTTGTTAGTGTTCACACAGAACAACAGGCTTCTGTTTTCTTAACTTTGAAAATTTTCAGTGGAATATTGAGCAGTATTTTCATATAAGCCTGCATAAAAACTATCCAACATTTTCTTGGGAGTACAATGAGTGATGCTGAGAACACTAAAGTAGCTTTGTTCAGTGAATTAGGAAACAAGACCATCAGCATGGAATGTTGCTCCTCTAGCTCTTATATAAGTAGTTTGGAAGGCGAGAAATAGAAAGGCGTTCGAAGGGGTAGAGAAAGATCCTGTTTATTTGGGGAATAGCTTGATGTCTCTAGTTTCCTTTTGGTGCACCCTTGAGTTTCCAGTTTGCATATAGTTGACTTTAGTAGAGACCCATGTCTTCTTGTAAGGGGCTCTACTTTCTGGTATATTACTTGTATACCAGAACTTCCCCAATAAAAACAAAATTATTCCCCTTATAAGAAGAGACTGTCCAAAATTTCATTACTGCCCTAGAAAATTTTTTACCTTCTGACTTCCTTCAAGAACTACAATCTTTGTAAACATGTAGGAGTTGTAAGTTATGGGGTGTTAATTACTTTTCCATTCAAGAACAAATTCAAGTTCTCTATCCAGACTACAGCTACAGTACAAAGCTAACAACTCGTCCACCACCAACACGAAGAGTTAAACCCATATATATAGCAGCAACAACAACAAACAACTCCATCCTTAGCTAGTCGGAGTCAGCTATAAGAATACTCACTATCCATCTTGCTCCATTTGAACCAGTTTCATTCTACTGTTAAATAGTTTAGGTTGTCTTACACTATAAGTTCTTTACATTTTCTAGTGACATACAAATCTCTAACAGTTACGCAACTGGCAAAACCACGAAGTAATCATCTTAATTGTTGCAGGCAAGGTTAACAAATGCCTATGGAATGAACTTCCTCTTAACTTTTAGACTGTCTCACCTGAATGATAATTGACGTGGTGGTATTTGGATGAACATTCAAAACACAAATGCTTTGCACAGTCCTCTTCAAAATCATCTCATACTCCTTCTCCGCTTTACCTAAACACAAAGTGAACTTTTGAGATTACGAAAGGAGAATCTTCTATTGCGATCATGCCCCATTATTACATCCCAATCAAATACCAAGGAGGTCTCTAAAACCAATATTACAATCATCAGATATATAATGCAAGAAAAGAGATACACACCGAACGATTTGTGAATGAAAATATCAAATACTGCAATTTGCCTTTTCATCAATTAGTAACAAGACGTGCATGAAAAAGGCCAATTTAAAAAGTTCAAATAGCAGTAGTGTCAAGCATCTGTAGTAACTTCGGCTGTGTGTTCTCTGCAAGAAGAAACTATTCTGAACATAAACTTTGATCAGATACCAAGCACCTTGGAAATAATGAACTGCATTTTGGGGAACTCACCAATCTGCCCCGTTTTTGGCTTCCAAATGACTTCAAAGCAGGCCTTTTCCGGGTTCTCGTTCTTCTTTGTTCCAGCCTTTGGTCCATAAACAGCGGCAAGAACTTTTGTCTCCCCTATACAAGTATAAACCCATCTCAAGACTTCTATGAAATCCAACTTCAAATGAAAATATAACATAAGGCAATTCCAAGAACACAAGAGTAATATTAACCATGAGAGAAGTACAAAAGTGTTACAAAATCTCATCAAATCAGTTTTAAATGAGCAAAAATTAGCTAGCTCTCAACCACAACGAGAAATTGTTACACCATTAGAATCTTTGTAACTCCCTGCATCCCACTTTTAGAGTGGTAAATTAACTTTCAGAGAACAAAATTGACCACATCCTGATAGTAATATTTCACGTGAAGAATAACTTGTTTCAAAGTCGACAGTTAATTATTCAGAAAGGAATACTAAATTTTCCACCACAAGTAAACGAAGAGAAATTAGAACTGTAGTTCAAAATGTATCAAGAGTTGAAAGGGTAGATATAAAATACCTTGAGACCAACTGGCAGAGCCATGAGCCCGATTAAGAACGTTACGAGTGCAAGCCAACGGTCTCAATTGGTTCGCTGTTCGCCCATCCTTCCTATCTGTTTCCATTGTTCTGTAAGCGCAACAACGCTCTCTCTCTTCAGGGTTTTAGTTAGGGCTTATGGGGTTGCAAGTTAGGAAGAAAAAGAAGGGGAAAAATTAAAATTACACTGCAGCCCCTGTTATTTTTTTTTTCTTTTAAAACTTTTCGCGCTTTACCAATACATATGTGATAGAACATCTGGTGAAAATAAAATTCAGTACTATAGTATTTTGCATGTGATAAAAGTAATAAACTTAGCCATTTGGGCACCAAATATTAGCTCAATATTTAAGATGTACACGAAATATTGTAATAATGGATTGAAAATACTTCAATTCAAATAATTATTTCATTCACAAAACTTTAAATTTAACAAACAAACAAAAATCCAAATACACTTCATACACAAACACAAAGCATCCAATTACTCACTTTCCGCTACAATTTTAAACACCTTTTTTTTCAACTTCAAGTAAATATTCTTCAAAAAGAAGTAAGGCCTCATTTGTTTTAATTAAAATTAAGACGTTTGAATCTGTTAAACTGAGAGTTTAACCGGATTTGATGAAGCTATGGTTAGAATTTTTAGAGAGAAGTGAGAGCAAAAACGAATGAGAGAATTTGTGTATTGAAAATTATACCAAAAGTTGTCCAGAAAGTTCTCTAAGGCCTATTTATAGAGTGTGCCTATTATTACAAAGAATACAAAATCGGGTCAAAATAAATAAAGAGAATGGGCATGTCGCCCAACTAGCTAAACTATCTGCAGCCCAAGATGTCCAATTGTTATGTAACTCCAACACCCCCCTCAAGTGAGAGGGTGGGCACACTCCCAACTTGCTCGATAAGGTATAATTTTGCAAACCTGTTAAGGACTTAATAAAAATATCAGTCATTTGAGAAGAAGTAGGAACATGAGACAAGGAAATGAGCCCATCAGATAACTTGGTAATAATAAAGTGATAATCAACTTCGATATGTTTAGTACACTCATGAAATATAGAATTTTTGGCTATGTGAATTGCATCCTGGCTGTCGCATAACAGAGGAACTGGAGTAGCAAAAAGGACACCCAGATTAGCCAATAACCTCACAACCCAAGCCAATTCTGCAACCACCTTACTTATGGCTCTGTATTCTGCTTCAGCAGAGGATAAAAAAATAATAGGCTGCTTCTTAGACTTTCAACTAATGAGGTTGCCCCCTAAATGCATACAAAATCCAGTAACAGACCTCCTAGAGGCTAGGCATGCAGCCCAATCACTATCACAGCTAGCAAACAAAGAGAAATCAGATGAGTTATTGAGAAACGCCCCCATGATCAAGAGTACCCTTCAAGTACCTCAAAACGTGTAAGGTAGTGTTATGACCCAAACCGATGGGCCGCAACTGGCACACGATACCTTACTCAACCGAGTACCAACGTAATGTATCTTTCATATCATTCTATCATAGGTAAATGAACCGGAGTAGAGCATGAGGGAATACAAACTTATACATATGAAGTACGGGCATTTAAGACCAAAATATCCACTCGTGTACTGAACATGGGCCGACAAGACCATACAATCTTTTAAGTACATGACATCTATCTACAAGCCTCTAAGAATACATAATTTTTATAAAGGTCGAAACAAAGTCCCGCCATACCAAACAATATCCGTCTAAATCATACTAACCAATCAAGCAACTCCGACGCAAATGGAGCGCACCAACATCTTTCGCTAAGCTGATAGCCTACTTGGAGGGCTCTCGATCTGTCTATCGGAACCTGCGGGCATGAAACGCAGCGTCCCCAGACAAAAAAGGACATCAGTATGAATAATGTACTAAGTATGTAAGGCACATAAATAAGCACATAACAGACATGGAGGAAATATAAAGTAAATGACTCCACCTGTAAGTCTGAATAACTTTGTAAATCATGAAATAATGATAGTATCATGCATATGCGTATGAATGTCATGTCGTGCATAGGTACATGTTTTATAACATCATCNATACATATATACGCGTATATAATGCCATCTGGTCATGGGTCAATGTATATGAATGAAATGAATGAAAAGTACGTTAATAAAATCTTTCGGAATGTCATAAGACCATTTTGCCTTTGAGTAATATCATAAAGCAAACGCTTTTCAACTTTCGTATTTTTCTGAGACCCATGAACAGATGATAGAATAATATGACACATGGGGAATTAAGAACATAAGCACATCTAATATTTCTATGAATAGAGTCATGTATGGAAATTGTGCATTTGCACGTTTCGTTTGTGTCGTATGGGTCATGCCAAAAAAAAAAGAAGGGATAGCCTTAACATACCTGAACCGATTCTCCTAACAATCCCTTTAACACTCGTTAATTGCGACAATCCCTGTAATAGTTGAATACTTTGTAAGAAGTCTCCTTTTAGCTAATGACTAATTGTAGTACTTTTGTATTTAATTATTACCATGAGGTGTATTGTGATTAACACCTTAAATTGCCACCTACCTAATATGACTAATGAGTCATTTGATTTGGCTGGTGGCTTGCTGCCACATGGGTTTGGGGAGGGTTTTATAAGCTTATCCTATAATTAGTAATTAATTAGGTATTATCCCGCTACCCGATAATTAACCAATTACCCATATAATTAAGAATTATTCCCACTTTCTTAAAATACTACTTACTTTTCACATACCTTATACACCTTACTATCATGGTCATGTGGTACCTTCTATGGCACTAGTCCATAAATATTGGGTATTTTAGCTCGGGCCATATTTTATCCCATAATGCCAAATTTTGACGAAAATTCACTTTCTTTGACTTGCTTCCCCTTTCACCTTCACGAATTTACTCATCACTTGTGAAATACCATAATCCTTATAATCTTTAAATAATCTTTTACTTGGACTGATGTCAATTACCTTACGACAAATTCAACGTACAATACTACAGGGTGCAATATCGTCGTAACTTATTACTGCAAAGCGTAAGATCACCGCAATGTAATATTGCAGGGTGCAATATTGTCGTAACTTAATATTGCGAAGCGTAACATCATCGTAATGTAATACTATAGGGCACAACATTGTCGTAATATAATACTGCAGGACGTAACATAATCGTAATATTGTGGGGTGTAACATCATTCCCCCCTTTGGAACATTCGTCCTCGAATGTTGACTGATGCTCTTATCATTTTCATAACTTATAGCTCTTGTGAATACCTTAATACTCTCCTTGCCATTTAAGTAATTGCTCTGTGAATAAATCCAAAGTCTAGGGTATTCCCCCTTTAGTCTTTTTCCTCATATCATGACTTGTGGTCGAAATCTTTCTAATCTCGCAACTGCTGCTACCTCCTGTCATGCAGCCTGTATGACCCTGGCTTTGTAAGTGCGCTTATGTGATTCATCTTTCCTTTTTTCCTTTTAGCTTTTATTTAGGCCTTATTTTGTAAACATAGACAAGGCTTAATAAGATGTCTCTCTGAGCATCTATAGGTGTACTGAAGTTCTTCGTTCGGTACTTTGTAGAACTTGTGAATATTGCTACATCTTATTTCATAAACCAGGTTATCTATATGCATGATTTTTACTGCATCCAGGTAGGTCATACTATATCGTAACTCTTACTTCGATTTATTGCTGGGGAGGTCTGCTACCAAATTCCAGCTCACTCTTGTTGCTTATCTCATATGTATAAATCCTAGTCCTTTAATGCCCCTACTACTGTTCACCTTAAAAGTGACGACCTAATCTTAGCTCATACTTTGTGACTCTTGTCCACCCATTATGATTTACCTCAATATTGATCTACGATATACCATTGATAACTTGAAACTTCTTATGTAATACCTTGCCACTAGCGCTTACGTTGCATCGAGGAATATTTGAAGTGATTTCCATAATCGTAGTTCATAGTATCTCGATGTGATTCACCTTATAGGGGTATTCTAATCTCGTGCCGTATGCGAAATATTTTCTCCTTCTCCCCCTTTTTTTTTCTTCAAATCACTATTCAATCGAAGGCTCAAACTTCATCCTTTATCTATTGTAATCACACCTTTATTTCACTACTAGGGCAGCATCCCATCTATTCTAAATGCTACTAGTCTTAGACTCCTTTGAGTTTATTTAGGCCGTCAGCTCTTATTATTTTCATGGGCTTAATGCTGAGGACTTATCCATTTTCGTCACCTTCTTACTTGCCTTATTCTTATCCTTACTCTTGTATTTCTAAAACCTTGTTGTTCTATCATACTTTAGCTTGTGATCGATTCCCTTATGCTTTTCTGAACATCACGCAAGATATCGCATCGCTTTTAACTCTTTTTTTACTCTCCGATTAGACCTTTAGGTACTTAAAACATAGGTTGGAAGATATGCCACTAACGATGCTACTATCATTCCTGGGTATTGAGTCTCAGCGCTTCTGGCCTTCTATCTGAAGTATGGACTATTCACAACCTTCTGCATTTGAGTATCTCGTACGTTGTTCGCCTTTGCCTTACTTATCTTAAAGTCACATCATATCTCTTATCTCTTTCATAACCTCCCTTCCACATAGGTATAATCACACCCACAACTTGTAGCTCTCTTATAATACATGTACCTCTGGTGCATACACAATTTGGTGGTAGCTCCATACTGTTACTTTTCTTACTGTCTCTATCGTAGAGCCGTTACAGAATATGGCTATTGTACTATTTCTCTTGTACTTTTGATATTAAGAGTGATTCAACAATGTTCTCATTCATGATGCTTGTAACTTTTTGGGTCCAATAAGCAAACTCTTAATTCACTTAGCTGATGTAACTCTTTAGTTTCCTCTTTCTTCTGATTGGCCTTTATGTCGGCTTAAGTTATCTCCCGATCTGTGGTTCATGGTATTAGTTATTTTGTTCATCCTTTCATGGGCGCTGAGGAATATGCATGATACAATCCTTTAACAATTTAATTTTTCGCCTAAATCGTAGGCTCAATTCTTTCTTTTAATATATACCAGAATATTCTACGGCTGTATATGTTGCATGTATAAAACTCCGAACCCTTAAGTGCATTCATAACGTAACCCACTCTAGATCATTGA